TCAATTAATCCCTCCTTCCTGCCTTGGACTCGCCGCCCGCTTCCCTTATCTCTTCCCTTCCTCCACGGAACATCCATTTGTCAAAAGGTCCAGTTTTTCCCTGCTGTCTCAGAATTCCAGCCAAGGAAAATTTGGATTCCGGCCGCCTAAAATCTCCAAACTGTGGGCTGCTCTCTCACAACCTGCTGTCCAACTGTTTAGGCCCAACCCTTGCTGTCCTGAGGAGTTTCCAAGGTTAAAAACTGCTGTCCGCTTATTTCTGCAGGCTTCCCAACACCGTATCTTTCATCCGAAAGACTCCAACTGCTGTTCCCTTCTTCCCCAACACCAAAGTGACTACGCCGGAGCTCCGTATTTTTCGTTCCCTTTGGAATATTAAGCGTGCAAATTTCCTTTAAGCAACTCATCCATGCAATTATGTTTCACATCATAAGGCCATTTGGATTTCTTATAGTGCTGTAATGATGAGGCTATTTGCACACTATCATTTAAGGATATGAATTAAAAAAAAAAATCATTTAAGGATATGAATTTTTTGTTATATTTCCAAAATGACATAAGTACTAATAGATTAAAATGATACAATTAGCGTAAATTTGGAGTTTCTTTGTAAAACTATTGTAAAAATCTAAATGAGCTGTACTTCCAACCTTTTATGTCCTCTTGGGTTGGATCCTTATATTTCTGATGACTAAAGAGTATAATTGCATTTTATACTGAAAGAAAGTTCATTCTAATCCACATATAGCTACCTTATGAATATTTACTTTGCATTAATTCTTTAAAATTTAATGCAGATAAGTGATTTGTTATAAACAAGGCACATATAAGGTCTGCTATGATTCTTCGGAAAACATTTCTTGGGCACGCAGTTTAGCGGTGGGATGGTGGGTCATGCAAGTATAAAGAAATAGATGGTTATATTAGTAATTATCATATTATATAATGTTTATTTAAAACTAATTTTTAAATATATTTTAATTTAATTGAGCGGCTCGACAAGCTTACGAGCCGAGCCAAGTTGAGCTCGAGCCGAGCTAGTATAATATAAGAGCTCGACTACTGGCTCGAGCTTGAACTAGAGGCTCGATAAGCATGACCCGTGAGTTTGTTAATGAATCGAGTTAGAGTCAGATCGCGAGCTAGCTCGGCTCACTTACACCCCTTCTCCATCTCAACAATTCATGGGTTGCCATGCCTTCTTGGGAAATTTCTAGCTGTTATACATTCATTGCCAGACCCGACTTTCCATATCGGGATGCTTGTAGTCTCCACCTCAATAATCCGGGGGTTGTTTTGCCTTATTGAGAAAGCGTTAGCTACTACCCATTAAATGTTCTAGCAATCATCTGTTGTCTTATCATTTAGGAAGAGGAGGTAGCTAGCTAGGCTTATCAATCAATTTTTTGGATAGAAGGTATTAAATACTTTGGTGAGGATGTCAATAGTCTGATCGGAGGAGAGAATATGTAAGATAAGGAGATCTCCATTTTGAATTTTTTCTTTAATGAAGTCTCAATCTATCATCTGATATTCTTTTTGAAGAAGCTGCAATTATCATGCAGTTGATTTGTTTCAGTTATTCAAATGTTGCCATGTTAGTTTTTTTTTTCTTCTTGTCAGTAGCTTTGCTTTCTAGATGCATAAGTATAACATAAACTTGCATGATGAGACATATTTGATTTTTCTTGTTACCAATTAAATAACCTTGCATGATTAATTTTCAGCATTGGATGCCTGTCTTGCACTTTTAGTAAGGCCACAATTGCTGTGAGTACTAACATATTTTGTTATTTCCTGCATTTTAAATGTAGCAACTATACCAAATTGGTCCTGAAAAACTAGGAAAATGAGATTGAATAGATATGTTGGAGATGGACAAGAAAAATCATCGATCTTATGCCAATTCCTTGTAATTTTGGAATTATTTAACAAGAACAAAGATTCAATTAATTTTTTTAAGGGAAATTTTGTCTACTACCTATTGTAACAAGTGTTTTTTTCTTTAGTCTATCGTCAAAGTTTGTTTATTTCGAAGTTCAAACAAAACTTCAAAATTGTTTAAATTCGAAATCATTAATCTATCCAATGTCCTTAAATCCTTTTGCCTTATCCTAATAATTGATTCATATAGCTAGTGAACACATTTAAATTTAGAATAACCAGTTCGAGTAAATAATTTAAATGATTCTTAGATTTTTAAGTGTGTCTATTTTAATATCATTTTTATCTAGATATGCAATTTAGTCACTTAACTCACAAATCTAAATAAATTTGTTTCTACTAGGGGTGTCAAAAATTGACACAGCACGAAAACTCGACTTTAATCCGATCTGAATTTTTCGGGTTAGGGTCAACCTAGTTTAAGAACGAGTTGGTAAGCCAGAGGCAATTATAGATGCTATTTCAAGTCCCAATTTTCAACCCGTTTTGAATTCTTGGTCAGGTTCAGGTCAACTCAGAAACCTGATTTGGACTCGGAACTAACCCGGGTCCTGCCCCCCAACTGCATCCTGCACGCTCATGAGTCACACCCGTGTTCGCCCCGTACAGGCGTGAGACACGCCCGCGCTTGACCCCACAGGTCACAACCAACTCTCTTATGCGGCCAACATTGCCAGCATTTGCCCGAAAGGACGCGTCCACCCCTTATCAAGAACGAGTTGGTAAGCCAGAGGCAATTATAGATGCTATTTCAAGTCCCAATTTTCAACCCGTTTTGAATTCTTGGTCAGGTTCAGGTCAACTCAGAAACCTGATTTGGACTCGGAACTAACCCGGGTCCTGCCCCCCAACTGCATCCTGCACGCTCATGAGTCACACCCGTGTTCGCCCCGTACAGGCGTGAGACACGCCCGCGCTTGACCCCACAGGTCACAACCAACTCTCTTATGCGGCCAACATTGCCAGCATTTGACCGCACAAGACTCGGGACCCCTTATCAGACTTCTGCACAAGACTTTCACTTTGCCCGTGCAAGCGTGAGCGTGAGGACACCACACCGGACCCTGCACCCTAAGGCTAATCGGCTCGGGTCGGGTCAACCCAGTAACCCGGTGGCTCGGGCCCGGGTTGGAAATTCTCACCCATTTGTAAAAGCGGGTCAGATTCGTGTCGTGCCAAATAGCAGTGGGTTAATATCTGGTTCAACCCGAACCCATCCCGCAACCTGTTTTTGACACCCCCTAGTTCCTACCATCAACTTTGCCATTTCTTTGGATGCAAATTGCCTGGAGGAAAGCTTTCCATGAGAGAATCCAAATTGCCCTTATTGAAGCTTCTCTCCACTAATTTTCGTGCACAGAGTTGTTAAAGTTGATAGTAGGACTAAATTAAATCCTACAAAAGTCTACAACTAAAATAAACCCTCCTAAAAAATATAGGAACTGTTTTAGTCATTTACTCTAATCAGATCTATCATTTGAATCATCACATCAAAAGCAAAAATTATAATCATATTCATAAAGCCAGTACTCTCTTCTAAACATTTTTATTAACTAGATCCATTGAATCAGCGATGTTCAAATTTGGACTAGTTAGTTTTATTATTTCATTATTTACATTAAAATTTTGATTTATGTTAATACCCACTTCTAAAATTCATAATTAGAGCCAGAGAATCGCTACAATCTAATTTTGTGTAACCAGATTTATAATTTTAGTAACATCATCCAAAGAAATATTAACCCGATTTATTAAGTCAGTTTGCTCTTCTAAATACCTTATAACTAGTTACATACAGTTCTTGATCACATTCAGAGTTTGAATAATCACATCTAAGAAGCAATGACTAGAATCATAAAGGCAATACTTGCTTTTAAAAATTTTATTTGTTATATCCATATAGCTAGTGGTTACATTCAAATTTTTCTAAATCAGAAACTTCAGTTTGATAAACATATTCAAAGAATTTTTTCAGTTGGCAAATAGGTAGTTACATATTTATTTTGGGAGGGCAATAGTGGAGGGTAAAAGGAAGAATAAAAAATAAAAGAAGTCTAAATTAGAGAAGAAGGTAATATACTAAATTGATAGCACCAAAAAATAGAGGTAAGTCAACTTTGATAAATCTATGCTCCAATGAAAAGCTACTGCAAATTTATAGGGCAACTGGAGACTCAGTTCAGATGAATTTGTGCATTAAAGCTATCTTGACGCCACAATTAAAACATTATATTAAAATAGTCAAATGTGATCCTAGTTAAAATGGGGACTCAATCAAACTTTATTATTGACGCTTGCATGTAGTACTCGTGTGTATACATTGTTATAAATAAACTTGGGAGAATCAAGAAATAAATCCAGACTGGTAGAATCGTCAGTCTTATCCCTACAAATAATGTTAGAGACCTGAAAAGATGCCCCTTTTCTACGAAGAATTATTACGTCCTCCGACTGGGACAAAGATAAATACCAAAAAATGACAAAATTTATAAAAAAAAATACAAAACCCAAATACATATAGCATAAAACCAATGAAAAAAATCATCCATTAATTTACATATAGCATATAATGATAGGAGGACTCCTTTATTAGATTTAAACGAGAATTTGGCTTTTAATAGGACACAATGGAGAAAAAGGATTCATGTAGCCGACCCCACGTAGTGGGATAAAGGCTTGATGTTGTTGTTGTTGTTGTTGTTGCTGACAAAGAAATCCCATTTCTCCTTTAATGGACAAATTGACCTTGATTTTATTTATAAACTTGAGCAACAAACACCTTCAATTGGAGTACTCACCATGTTTGCAGTAGCTAAGTGAATCGGTAGAGTCAAAGAACTGCCTTATGAGCTTACTTCAGCAAGTAGTAAAACTTGGGGGCAAGCATTTTCATCTTTGCTTGACAGCGAAGCTAATGAAATCAGTCACTAATTATTTCAAACTGTTTTCTATATCACAGCTTTTGTTTAAGTTGAAATTAACAATAACAGTACCTTCTGTTATGCTACTATAGATGCAAACAACATATTATAAATAATTTTATTTTCTTTATCTAGGACAATATGGCTCAAGCTCTTGGTATTTGTCTTCGTCTTCTTGAAAATAGTCGTTCTTCTGACAGTGTCCGCAAGTAAGTTCCATAAAAATTATTTTTTTGCTCATGAAATATAGAGAAGGATTTATTTTTTCTTGTTTAACTTATATTTTACATGTTTATGGTTCAGTACTGCTGCAGCTACCTTCCGACAGGCAGTTGCTTTGATATTCAATAATGTTGTTCATGCTGAATCACTTCCTGCTGGAAAATATGGCAGTCAGGTTTCTCGAGTTAATTCTGTCACGAACGATGTTACTCGTAGTATCAACCAGTCAGTATATGATTCCCTGCATACATCTTGTTCTTACTATGTTCAAGCTAAATAAATTGTTATTTGCATATGGATTTAACTTCCGTACCTATGGAACTACCTGCATTAGTGTATGTAGCGATAACAAGTTATTTTATGTGACTTTCTTTCAAAAGATGATCTTCGTTCCATTTTGTCCAATCTGTGATCTAGCTTACTTGAATTGTGGCAGGTCTTTGGAGACTAGAAATATTGCTGTTCAACCATGCATGAGAGAATCCCTGAGCAAAACAGGGAAACTTGGGCTTCTTCTGCTAGAGGATTTGACTGCTCTTGCTGCAGGTGGATCTGTATGTGCTGAATGAAAGCTAATGTTCTTTTCTCTAAACATTATTATAGAATACGTAAACATATTAAACTTGACGAGTGTGCTGGTTTTTTTTTGCCAGGCAATCTGGTTGCGGGTGCATTCACTGCAACGAATATTTGCTTTGGATATCCTTGAGTAATGATTCTTACTGCCATTCTTTGAATTAATTCTGTGTTAATCATTCTGAAAGTTGTCTTATCAGAGCATTATCTTTAATAAGTTATTTATTTATATATTTTTGCTTTTATTTCAGTTAAGCATTGTTGAAATGATATGCTTTATCTTTATATTTTATTTTTCATCAGGTTAAAAGCTACTGAGATGCTAAAGTTTAACTGATGCTTTGATACTGATAAGTCTAATATATGCGAAGCTTCTAAACTTTAGAATTCTTAAGTTTTGCATGAAACCAATGCCAAAAGCTAGATTTTAACAACTTGAAGATAACAAGTTCAAAATAGAACCTATTAGAACTATTTTCACATTCAAGATTTATGTTGCCCCAAGACAAATTAAGGTGAAAATTTCAGATAGTTGCATTCATTTGTTGAATTATACTATTTAGTATTTCACATCATATTTTGGCCTTTTATAGAAATATCTATGATTTCAATCTATCCTACAATCATCAAATGTTATTTTTAGTTGCTATTGTGATTGAAGAGGACCCACTAATTCATTCTTTACGCCCTTGCAAAAATTGCTCATGCCATGCAATATGCATTCACACAACTTTAACAGCGCCATGGCTCTTAGTTTGCACATTGTCTGTTAGTTTTGTGTGGAATCTGATTGTATCGATCAATCGGGTTGTACTGCTGCCTTGATCCTCAATTCCATTGTCAAGCTTGCCGGGGTCCTCCCTTTGTTTGGATTCAGGTGCTTTGCACATGAAATTTTTTTTGTACAACTGTACAACACTGCGGTGCTATATACTCGAGCGCTATGACGCTGTCATACAGAGTGTTGAATGCTGCGACGCTCCAAACTTGGCTTTGCGAAGAGGGCTTGGTAGTTTTCATTTTCATTTTTTCATGAAGGGTTGCGTCATTTGGTGGTGGATTAAGTGGGTTTTCTCTTTGTTTGTTCATGTGAGAGAGTAATGCTAAAGTGAAGAAAGACAAGGAGAGAGATTTGTACAAATTTCTTCCAATTTTCATAGTGAATTTCTTGTTGTGGTGTGGCTTTGTGGGTTTTTTCCGGTTTCATCCACGGTAAATCCCGATGTTCTTTCTTTATGCTAAAATTTTCTATTTCTTGTTTATTTTGCTATGTGGTTTTACTTCCCCAACAACTAGTATCAGAGACACATTCTTCATTTTGAGTGAGAGTAATGACTGACAAAGTAAGATACAAGATTGATTAACTTTGCATTTTGAAAGATGCAAATTAAAGATTTGCTATAGTAGAAAAAGTTGTATTTACTGTTGAATGGAATCACCATGAAGCTAGATTCAATGACTATGGAGTAGTGGGAAGTTCTTGACTGGATAGCCCTAGGTTTGATTTGACTTTCACTTGCCTCATATGTTGCTTTAAACATTGTAAATGAGAAGACTAAAGTCGATCTGATTGCCACACTAACTAAGATGTGTGAGAAGCTGTCAACCTCAAACAAAATGTTCTTGATGAAGAAAATATTCAATATGAAGATGTTAGATAACACTTCAATGGCTGAACATTTGAATAATCTAAATACTGTGATGAGTCAGTTGTGTTTAGTTGACATCAAGTTTGATGATAAAGTGAGAGCGTTTCTACTATTATTGTCATTACCAGATAGATGGGTTGGACTGGTTACTGCTATGAGTAATTTTTCAGGAAGTTCAAAGTTAAACTTTGAGGACATTGTGGGGGTTATTGTTGAATGAAGAGGTTCGTAGGAAGGCAAACGGTGAATATTCAAATTCTACTCTGTTGAAGCTAGTGGAAGGGGTTTAGATAGAAATCTAAGTGGAGAATCCAAGAGAGGAAATTCTACTTCAGGTAGAGTGAAAGTTGTGTGTTGGAATTGTGGAAAGAAGGTTCACTTGAAGGACTATACTATTCCGAAGAAGGCTAGTGGTGGATGTCAAGATAAAAAGTCACTCTGCAAATGTATATGCGCAAGTGTTTTTATTATATTTTCTTTGATTTTATCTTTGGATAATTCTGAATCTTGATATAGATTCATTTGCTTTATTTCATGTAAATCCTAACAAGGAGACTTCAAGAATTACGCAGAAGGTGATATGGAGAAAGTTCATTTGAGAGATAACAAGCCCTGCAATATTATAAGACGAGGAGATGTTGATATCATAATGCTAGATGGGTCAACTTAGAGATGTTAGACATGTTCCTTGTCTGAAAATGAATTTAGTTTCTGTGAGTCAGCTTGCAAACTTAGGTCATGTGAAATCATTCACAGGAGATTTGTGGAAGGTGATAAAAGGGACTATGGTTATAGCTCGTGATAGTATTGAAGGTATCTTGTATGTTATCAACAAAAAATTAGATTCTATTGGAGTTGCTGATTCATATGTTGATGGAGGTCTTTAGCATCGTAGACTTAGCCGTATGAGTAAAAAATGTATGCATTCTCTTCTTACAAGAGGAAAGCTTCCTGATTTAAAATATATAAATTTAGATTTTTGTAAAAACTGTGTATATAAAAAGCGCAACAAATGGTGAGTTTTTCAAGTGAAGTTAAAAATGTTGGAGTTAGTGCATACTGATGTATGAGTTCCTGCACGAGTTTCTTCTATAGGAGGTTCATTCTATTTTGTCACTTTTAGTGATGATCACAACAGAAATATATGAGTGTAATTCTCAAACACAAATCAGATGCATTTTATGTTTTCAAGGTGTGGAAGATCATGATTGAGAATTGGGCATATTTAAAGTTGAAATGTCTCATATTAGATAATGGTGGTGAGTATTTTGATAAAAAACGTCAAGGATTATTCTATTTTGAATGGGATCAGACATGAGTTCACTGTTCCAAAAACATCACATCAGAATGGTATCGTAGAGTGCATGAGTAGAACTATCACTGAGCATGCCAGGAGCATGAAGCTGCATGGTCTATCTAAATAGATCTGGGTAGAGGCAGTGAATATTACTTTTTATTTGATCAATCATTGACCATAAGTTCCTTTGAATAAGGGTTACTTGAGGAAGCTTGGAGTGACAAGTTTTTAAGTTTATCTCACCTCAAAGTTTTTAGTTGTTCATCTTATATTCATATTGATGTAGGATTTAGGAATAAGCTTGATCCAAAATTTATCAAGTGTACATTCATGGGATAAGACTCAAATGAATTTGGTTTTAAATTATGGGATTATTAGAATAAGAAATTCATTAGGAGTAGAGATGTTACATTCAATGAAAATGAAATGTAAAAGGATAAAAGTAAGACTCATAAAAATTCTTCTAAATATGTTGAGATAGAGGATGATGATGATCAAGAAGACATAGACAGAAGGTGTGCTCAAGCTAATGAGGCAAAGAGAGTTTCTTAGACACCTGCTACTGACGTTAGGAAATCTAGCCGAACCTCAAAACTAGTATAAAGATATTATTCTTTCTTATACTCTCTATTGCTGATAGATAGTGGTAAACCAGAGTGCTATGATGAGATCATTCAAGTTGATGATTCAAAGAAGTGGGAGCAAGCCATGAATAATGAGATGCTTTCACTTAAGTTGAATCAGACTTGGGAGTTAACAGAGCTACCGAGCTGCAAGAAAGTATTGTAAAATAAGTGGGTTTTCTGGTTAAAAGAAGAATATGATAGTAGCAAGCGCTACAAGGACAGACTTATAATTAAAGGTTTTAAGCAAAGGGAAGGAGTAGACTACACTGTAATTTTTGTTATAATAGTGAAGATGACTACAATCAGAGTTGTGCTGAGCATAGCAGCAGTGGAGGATTTACATGTAGAGCAAAAGAATGTAAAAACATCATTTCTTCATGGTAACCTGTGTAGTTTCCAAAAAAACCTTAGGAATATATTGCCACTAATAAAGAAGATCTGGTGTTTAGTTTCCAAAAAAACCTATATGGTCTGGAGCATACACCAAGATAGTGGCATAGAAAATTTGATAGGTTTATATCAAGCAATGGGTAACACGAAGTACTAGGCAAATCATTATTATTTTTTTAAATATTTTGATAACTGTTATATATTATTGCTCTTATATGTAGATGATATGCTAAATATACGATCTAGTATGGAGAAAATAAGAGAGCTGAAAGAGCTGTTATCAAAGGAGTTTGAAATGAAAGATTTGAATCCAAGAAAGAAAATTCTTGGTATGAGAATTAACAGGGATAAAAGTGCAAGTATACTAAAGTTGTCTCAAGCTAGTATGTTGAAAAGGTACTGCAGAGATTTAACATAAGTGACGCAAAACCAGTTTGCTCTTCTTTGGATAGTCATTTTTAGCTAATGAATAATTGCCTAAATCCGAAGCAGATCAAGAACAGATGGAGTGGACTTCGTATGCTTCAGTAATTGGAAGTTTGATGCATGCTATGATTTGTATGAGACTAGATATAACATATGTGGTGAGAGTAGTCAGTAGATTTATGAGTAACCTAAACAAACTTTATTGGGAGGCGGTTAAGTGGATTCTCAGGTACTTGAGAGGATCAGTTGATAAAGCTCTTTGTTTTGGAGATATAGAGATTGATCTATAGGGGTATGTTGATTCTGATCTTGCTGAAGATTTTGATGGTAAAAGAAGCATAACTGATTATATCTTCATTTTGGAAAAAATTGCAGAAAATTGTTGCGCTCTCAATCACATAAATTGAGTATATTCCTATCACCGAGGCTAGCAAAGAAATGTTATGGTTGCAAAGTTTCTTGGTAGAACTTGGTAAAGGGCAAAGGAATGTGAAGTTGCATAGTGATATCATGAGTGTTATTCATCTAGCTAAGAATGCTACATTCAATGCCATGCCAGGACAGAGCATGTTCAGCTTTAGTATCATTTCATCAGCTCGCTTTTGGAAGATGGTCAATTATCTTTGGAGAAGATTCATATAACCTATAATCCTGCAGATATGCTGACGAAGATGATGATAGTTGATAAACTGAAATTATGTGTAGCTTCAGTTGGTTTTCATGAAGAATGAGAGCAGGGGTGAGT